GTTTGCTCCTTTTCTGGAATTAGACTTTTTCTTTATTCTAATCCATAAAAAAGTATAATTATTAAATTATAAATTATAAATTATAGATCATAGATCATAGATCATAAATCATAAATCATAAATCATAAATCATAAATTATAAATTATTATTATTATTATCATTTATTAGTCTACCACTTTGGTAGATAATAATTACACAGCCTTGGTTTGATATTTATGAAATCATGCTTAACCTCATCCAATAATTATTTATTAATATTACTTATTTATTATGGTTAATATTTAGGCCTTACCCTTGAAGACATGCACAGAGGACCAGTACAAGAGGATATTGCACAACGGCTCATTTGTCTGCATTGATTGTTTCATGTGTCCTACAGGACTTGGCCCCTCTGTGGAGTGTGGAAGTACCATATCACCTGATACTAAACTTGAATGCAAGAAGTGTGAAGTTGGTGTCAGCTTCTCACCATCTAATGATTATGAACAATGTCAGTTGTGTAGTGTTTGCTCAGAGGATCAAGTCTCAAAACCTTGCACACCAGACAGTGATACTATATGCGAAAAGAGGTGTATGAGCAAAGATAAGTATTATGAGAAAAGCTCTGATGATTGCCAAGACTGTTCTTGGTGTTGTGAAGATGGCAATGATGTAAAGATAGATGAGTGTTCAAACAAAGGTATGCCAGCACAGAAAAGTTGTACAGTCCACAGAAAAAAATTGTGCAAACCACCACCTACAGCAGGAAGATCCACAACTGCACTCCCAATGACTCTACCTCTGACAGCTACAACTATCCAATGGCAGCCAACTAGTAAGAAAACATCTGAGTATAATGAACACTGGCATTCAAGAGAACCGACAAAAGGAAAGCCTTCAAATCATAGCAAATTTGAACACAGCAATATCAATAATTCCTCATCTTCTAATAACAGTGCATCAACTATTGAAATGCAAGTGTTATTAGGAGTTTGTTCTGGTTTGGTCATTCTCTTTATAGTAGCAGTTTTGGTTTGTCTATACATGAAGTACCACAAACAATGTGGTATTTGTACAAAGGTTTCAAAGAAAAGTCAAAGAAAGTTAGAAGTAGTTTATACTAAGGTGTTGAAAGAAGAAGAAGACAGCACCATAGCCTCCTACAAAGGTAAATTAAATATTGTATTTATTTAGAGGTATTCATCAACTTGTAGTAGGGTAGGGGATGAGGACAAAAAAAGGATGAGGGGTGCCTGAATATTGTGTAGTTCCAGAAGTTATCCATACCGACCCTACAGAGGAATTTGGAATTTCCRAAGGGTAGGGGGTTCAGAGAAAGAACAAAATTTACAGAGTTTGAATGGAAGAAAATTGGAAGTTCCAGGGGTAGGGGGTCTTTAAAAAAATCACTCAGTGAGGGGGGTGTGGATAATTTCTGGTACTACACATTTTCTCAATTTCCTGAAGGGTTTAGACAATCAAGGTGATCACCTGTGGACAGTATATACTATAATCAATATATATAGTCCCTGTATTTCTGTTAGTCACTGTTTGGCGTTTGCTTTGGTTTTTGGAAGAGTGAGGATTCAAGTATTAGTAGCTAATTAGTAGCCCTCCCCTGGAGATATTAGACTTAAGCTACTAATCCTTGAATCCTTGCTCGGCCAATTGACCAAAGCAAACACCAAAGAGTGGCAAAGGGAAAACAGAGAGTACTGCTCACAGTCTAGATTTTGCTAATTGCAATCATTCATTTTCCATCACTCAAGGGCGGTATTAAGTATTTGAGTGAAACTGTARTATTGTGATAGGGGAAACTCCCCCTCCCCCACTTATGGCCCCTAATCGACAGATGACTATTCCCTATTTAAAACATATTACAATTTCACAATACCATATTGCAATAAATATTAAATAAAAATCAATAGCATAATATGTACTAATATGGTGTTTTCCCTCTCCTTCTCCAGGTAAGAGGCTTTTTGAGCTCTTCAAATCCAATCCTAAGCTGAAAGAAGAAGTCTGTAATAAACTGGATCTTAAAAAATCATTTGCAAAGGTGGCACGACGCTGAGGTGGATGAAGATATAGTGAGAAAACTGGAAGAACATTCAGGAAATGATCCTACATGTCAAGTTTTTGATTCAATTGAAGCCAAACATCCAAACTTTACTTTTGGTGAATTTGAAAACATTTTAAAGGAAATTAAAAGAATGGATGTACTGAAATGCTGTGTTGAACAACTTCAGCCTTCCAAACAGATTCGTGTGACACTGAATCAGTAATTAAGGAATCAAGTTTTTTCCAAAAACAGGGAAATAGGAAAAAGAACAAAGAAAAACGAACTGAAAAGTGAAAAGAAGAAGCAGGAAGGAAACAAAAAGTAAAAAAATGAAAAAAACATGAACAATAAACCAAAGGAAAACAAAAACAAAGGAAAGCAAAAACAAAAACAAAAACAAATAATAATAATAATAATTTAATACTTATAGGGCGCATTTTCCATGTCGAAATTTATCAAATGCGCCATAAGACAAAGACAAAAACAAAGACAAAAGCAAAAACAAAAACAAAAACAAAAACAAAAAC